CACTCATTCTCCTACCATTAATCTATTCATGCTCTCAGGGCTCCCCCTGTGTCCATCCTGTCACCCACCCGCCTGTGCATTCCTGTATCCACTGACACATCAGTCTCTCCATGCACCTGGTCACTTCTGTCTTTCCATTCGCTCCTCCAGCTGGCCCTCCTCCATTCGTATGCGGGGACGGTGCTTGGTGCTGGTGGAGGTGGAGAGGACCGCCACCTGAGTTCGATGGTATTGGGATCCCCATTCCCTCCATCCTGGGAGAGGTGGCCGTTCTTCCATGGCAGGCAGCTGTAATCAGCTTGTGAAGTGATGGGCAGACCCCTCCAGAGGTTCTGCAGATAGAGCCCTAGATGGTATTTAACATTTCCTGTCTCCTCATTGTGTAATCCCGCCCTCTTCGGCCTGAGCCCACCGCACGTGGCCCTGAGCGGAGTCCCCCACCCACCCCACATGGCCTGGCAAGGGCGCCCCCAGCCCTCCTCACGTGGTGCCCCACCTACAGCCCGGCCTTCCTGTGTGCTGTGGTGTGTTGAGCACTCACATTCTGTCCTTGGAGGGTGTCTGGTGTTACTCAGCCTTCCTATTGGCCACCACATCCAAACTATGCCCCTAGGTCTTCAGAATTTTCCAGGATGGGCCAAGAAGGTCAAACAAGAATTTAACATCTGAGAAACATTAAATCTACGTCAAAATTTCGTATTTGGGTTTCGGGATATGTCCTGGTGGGAGATCTGTCTGGCCTGTCTCCTGCAGCCTGGCCCTGGGCGGATACTTGGCTTTTGACCCCATCTCTCCTTCCTCGCCCTGTTTGTCCTGTAGCACCGTCATCTCCGTGTAGTTCAGCGTAGAACAGGCAGCCTGACTTACCAGCCTTGTTCCTCTTCTGTCGTATGCGTGCTGGATCAAGATGGTCATGGAGTGACCTGTGCTGGGTACTTAGAATGGGCTGGCCACACAGCTGGTCCCTCTGTCACTGTTGCTGCTGCCTGCCATGCTAAGTGAAGCCTGGTCCCCTCCTCCACAGCCTCCGTGATTATAGACTCAATTCTGACAACTCGGCCCAGTGCCTTGCTCACCTCTGCCACCTTTCCATCATGGTGGCACTTGCTGGCCTCACCTGACTCTCCCTTCAGCTGGTGTCCTGGCCTGCAGCCTTGTTCTCTGCCGTCTGTGGTGACATCCACCAGGCCAGTCTCGCCTCACTCCCCGTGAGTCCCTGCAACCACGCTCGTGTTGGGGCCATATGATTCTTGGCTGGGCCCGCCTCACACTCTGGCCTCACCTATGTCCACGTCTTTCCAGTGACCATAAGCTCCAGCCTGAGGTTCTCAAGACAGTCCGCTGACTCCGGCCTGGTCCACAACACATTTAGATCGACAAACCAGTCCTGGACCCATCTGTCCACCCACACACCCGTCCATCTACCTGCCGGGCCGTACATGAATGTACATATGTCCACTCACTCAATGAAAAGATCCTTTAAGGTCACGTTTGTTAGCTATAGATGAGAGCTCTGTGTTGGCCTTGAACTGCCACAGTTAGTGGAGGAAAGTTGACGTCTCTCCCTGAAGCCCAGCCTTACATATGGAATTTTGGGCCTCCGAATCTCAGAACCTAGGGACCCCTGGACTAGCCCTACATGTCATTGGGGTTTCATTTTGGAGCCAAACAAATGTCAGTGTGGCTTTCAGGCTAAAAAGGACCAGGGAGAAAGGCTTGGAAATCTGAAAACCAGCCAGCAAAGCCCAGTGCCTCTCCTGGTCCCACCTGCAACAGGCCCCAGGGTTGGCATGGCACTTGACACCAGTCAGCGGCTGACTGCACCAGTTAAACACTTCTGTTCATTTGTAGTTTGGTTGGAATTCTACAAAGTGTAAGAATTTTCCACTCAACCATTGACACCCGTTTTTTGTCCTGAGACTGGTTGCCAAACCCTCACTGGGAGCAGCACTCGGCCCACTTCCTCCCTGGGTTTCCCATTTCCACTCATCCTTCCATGCTGCCTCTGACAACCACAGTGCTTAGGGGAGCACACTGTCCCCTGTAGAATGTGCAGGGGTGAGAGCAGGGACTTGGGGACGTCTGGGTCAGGCATGGTAGTGGCCTGGATCAAGGTTGGAGAGCTGGCAGTAAAGGCGGGATCCCCCATCTGATTTGAAGGGTCTCCTGGGGCTCCCCCTCCTTGCTTTGACTTCTGGGAAATTCTTAGGGCTCATCTCTGGTGGTTGACCTGCTTCCAGGCTGGGACCCCATCCCCCGGCTCCTCAGAAACCCACTTGGCCATCTGCAGTCCAGGACCCCCAGGTGAGGCCAAGGTCACACCCAGGGGTGACAGCCCCATTGGTCCCCTGCTAGTCTCTGGAGGTCTATCCCCGCCCCTTGGCCTGAAAGGCTTGGGAAGCCCTTGGAGGTCCCCTCCCCCGTCATTGCGTGGCCGTGCTCCTGGTCTGGCACACACAGTTCTGTGCCCATCTGGCCGTGGGCGGAGGAAGGAAAGGCAAGGAGAACGCATGGAACGTGGAGTGCAGGGCTGCTGGAGAGGGTGGAGGGCGCCCAGTCAGCTCACCCTGGCCCACTATGTGGGATCCTGGCTGCTGGCACCTGATCCACTTACCCCAACCTGCCGTGTGGGGTGTCTGCCAACAGGCAGCCTGTCACCCCTAGAGCCAGGTGAGGGATAACATTACACCCTGGGGTTTGCAGAGTGAGTGGGCTGCTATTTTCGGGGGGGGGGGGAGTCCTGAGCTCATCCAAGTTGAGGGGCTCCTTGTGGGGAGCAGGTGCAGCACCTGGCACACTTAAGGCTCACCTGGGAGTCGCTGGAGCGCCGGGACAGATGAGGTGACAGAAGTGGACACAGGTGTTTCGGGGCAGTGATGGGTGCACTTGTGGAGATGCTGATCGGTACCCAGGTCGCCCTCATGTGTCCAGAGGCCTCTGTGGAGAGGATTCCCTGGTAGTTTGATTCCGACATGAGCTGAATGTGGGTGGTTTTTTCTTTTTCATCACTATTACCTGTTATTAATAGTATGTTTACAAGTCCCATCTTTGTGGAGGATGGGAACAGTACGTATAAATTTACAGTCTTGTCATACATGGGTACAAACTATCTTAAGATGTGCATTTTTAACACATTGTCGCAAATGTGTTTCTAAGCAGGGTCGTCAATTTAAAAGTGTGCTGCAACGTGTTAAATGATGTGGAGGGAACCCAGTTACAGTCCAGCTTGGCCTAACTTGTGTGTGAATCGGGAAGCGTGCAGTTCCGGCAGGTCGCTGGCGGGCTGTGAGCTACAGCTTGGCTTTTTCTGGTGATATAAGGGAACTTTTACAGAACAGGCTGCTTTTTCTTTCAGCGATCCATGGTTTTTTATGCACTTTGCTTTCTGACGTGCATTTCAAGCCCCAGTGTAAGCACACACTTCCCCCTTTTTCGTGATAGCCCACCAGTGATCCTTTCAGCCTCCCTACCTTGTATTTAAAAGTCAACTGGGCCCAAGGGTCTAGTGTTATTTTGGAGGAACATTCTTGTAAATTGTACAGCCCTCCTCTGTCAGTTTGCTGCACTGAAGTAAGCTGGGTCGCCGTGATGCTGAACCTTGTGCCATTGGGAGTCAAATGCCATAATGGCTGCCCATGGTGGACAGTGGAGCTTCCAGTTTAAGACCGGTTTGGAAGCAGGCGTGGCATCCACTTCCTAAACCACATGCCTCTGGAAACTCAACTTGGAGAAATGACGATAATGATAGAAAGGCTTTCAGGCCTTTTGTTCATACGGTCACTGAGTCGTGCTCGACTCGACGGCAGTGAACACCCTGTGATACAGGCCATGATCTTCACAATCATTTGCATACATCCCAGAGCTGGACAATGACTAGGGATGATAGGAGAGTTGATGCCTTTGAGCTGTGGTGCTGGAGAAGAGTATATTCCATGGACTGCTAGGAGAACAAACAAGTTCGCCCTGCAGAAGGTGAAGCCAGGCTGCTCCTTGGAGGCAAGGATTCTGAAGCTTCTTCTGACATACTTTGGACATGTTGCAAGGAGGAACCAGTCCTTGGAGAGGGACGGCATGCTTGGGAGGGTGGAGGGACAGCACAGGAGGGAGAAGACCCTTGATGAGATGGATTGATTCCGCCACTGGGGTAGATGTGTCGAAGACAGTAAGATTGGCAAGGGATAGAGCAGGATTTAGGGCTGTTATATACATAGTGTCGCTATGAGTTGCAGGTGACTCAACGGCACATAACAGCAACCAACCTGGGAGTTAGGTGTCTACTAAAGCTTTTCTGACAGGAGTCCCAGGGTGGTCAAAACTAGTCAACTCATAGCTGACCAGCTGGCATTTGAACCCACCTAGAGTTGGATGTGACTGTGACCTGGCTTGAGGATTCGCCTGTCTGGAGGGAGGTCCCACCCCGTGTGCTGAGGACAGTGCCTTGTGGCCCTTTATAATGCCCTGCAGACCATTTGAGCTCTGGTCACTGCTGACAGTGGGGTCCAGGGGAGCTGTTGGACCACTCGCCTGTCTGGGGCCCAAACTGACCCCGTCCTGGAAATTGACCACTCTGGATTGTGGGGTGTCTTTCATTTTCATGTCTCTGCATTCTGACACACCGCACACTGCCCGGGGGATGAGGGGTGCCCCCTATCCCTCAGCCAGTGTCGGGGGTCAGTGGACATTTCCTAAGGCTCCTCCTGCAGCCTGTAGACCCTGGATGATGGCATTGCTCTGTGACTCTACACACCTTTACTATCTGTCCTGGTGAGTCCTCACCTGCTCAGACAGGACTTCCATCCCCAGGGCAGCCGCTCAGCCAGCACTTTGGCCGTGCAGGTAGCAGCCAGCCTCTACGTGAGGGGGCACCCTGGCTGTGCGGGACCCAGAAATCTCTGACCTGGGGTCCCTGCTGTGTCTGCCTGTGGAGAAGCTGGGTCCTGGGATAAGGCTCCCTGGGGGTCTGGGGCTGTGTAGTCACTGGGGTCTGCTCACTTCTTCAGATGAGATGGACCCGGCACCCCCTGTCCGCTCCGAGTGCCTGATCTCGGGGACCCGCACGCCCCCTGCGAGGAGGAACAGCAGGCTGGCCACCCTGGGCAGGATCTTCAAGCCCTGGAAATGGAGGAAAAAGAAAAACGAGAAGCTGAAGCAGACGACGTCTGGTGAGCCTGCAGGGCGTGGGGTGGGTCCAGCCCGCGGAGGTGCTGAGGGGGGGGTGCCCATCTGCCCCACACTCGGGGTCTTGTGGCTGGGATGGGCTGCATTGTCCGGGTGTTGGGCCTTATCCTTCCACCCCGTACCTGGGGCATGGTGGCTGAGGTGGGCTCCATCAGGGTGCTGACGGCAGAGGGCTAGGTGGGCTTTGTCCTCAGGGTGGTGGGCCCCATGCCCTTCCAGCCCATACGTAAAGCAGAAGCTGTAGGGGTCTCTGGCCTCGGTCCTGGTCCCTCCCTCCATGGCCGCTCCTTCCCCCGCCCCTCCCTCCACTGCCCCTCCAGGCCCCTTCAAAGCAGCCCTTGGAGCCTGTCCTCCACCTACGGCCTGGGGGGGGATCAGCCCTTCACCCCCAGCCAAAGCCTTGGAATCCAGCCTTGATGTTCACCAGAGACCCCATTATAAACTAGTTTGTGAGTGTTGGGGGTCCAGTGTGGGCACTGCCAGGACTGTGCCCATGAGGGTCGTGGGAGGCATTGGAAAGGGGACGCCTGGTCCCCAGTGGCCCCCACTCACTGAATCTCTGGGCCACTGGCCTGGCATTCAGGCGGGGTGTCCCCAGGGTGACCTGCAGGAAGGACTTGGCGTTTGCAGATGGAGGGAAGGAGACTGACCCATGGGACATAGCTGACCACGGGACTGTGGCTGGTCAGCAAGGAGGCTCTGGGGGCAGATGGCCACGGGCAGCAGGAGCTTAAAGACCGAGTGCAAACCCACAGCCACACCTGAAGGACAGGACTGTCGTCCTGTCTGCCTTGTGGAGCGAAGTGCTCATCTGTGGCGGACATCTCAGTCTTAGCACTCTGCACCGCTCTTCCCTCCAGAAGGAAGGCCTTGCTTCACCAGATCTCGTGGGCGATGCTCCAGGCCCCCGAGGGCACTGCCCTCAGACCGAGTTTAAATAGTCCCTGGGAAGGGGCACAGGATCCCTGCCCTCTGTGGCCCCTCTGTGGACACGAGGGCCGCGTGTGGGGCGAGGCCACGGTTTAATGTCATGTCTCATGTCTCCTCCAGCCTTGGAGAAGAAAATGGCCGGCAGACAGGGTCGGGAGGAGCTCATCAAGAAGGGCCTGCTGGAGATGATGGAGCAGGGTGAGTGCCCAGCGGGTCAGAGGCCACCAGATGGCAGTGTCCAGGGCTAGGACAGGACCCCAGGAAGAGAAATCCCCACTCAGGGTCCCAGGGTGGAGCACAGGGCATCTGTGGGCCCCCAGCGTGTGGAACGGCACCTCCTGGTGGGCCCAGGGCTGACAGCAGCCATCTCTCCTGGTTACCGTCCACTGAGCGGCCTGGATGATAAGGCTCTTGGGACCCCGCCACATCGATAGCAGAAGCTTGGTGTTTTCATGTTTGCTTGTGGTCTTTGTGGGTGAATCCTGACACCCTCTGGCGCTGCGGCCACCACTCAGGAAGTGCTGTGGGCTCGGCCCCCTCTCCTGCCATCCCCATCACTGCAGTCCTGGGATTCAGGTCTGCTGGTCACTCCCTGGTCACAGCTGTGGTCTTAGAGGCTCTGAGGGGTGGCTCACCCTACAAGGGGGACAGAGGCCACATCAGGCCCTGCTCTGTGCCCTCTGCTGGGAAGTGCAAAGGTCAGAGTGTTCACCTTGGTTGATGTCCAGAACCCTCCTGTCCTCGGAGGTCTCTGGGCGGATGTCCTGCGGGCTGAGGTCTGGGTCCAGGCCCAAAGCCTCTGCCAGGTGTGCACAGAGTCCCGGGCTGTGGCACATTTGTGGGGTTCTGGGGTTGGCACAGGCAGACCCCAGCGGTACCCTGGGCTCAAGGCCAGTCTAAAGAGTTGTACAGGTGTTTCAGGGCTGTAGTGCTGTGAGGGTGACATGTGTCCCATGCATCATCAGGTGTGGTGGCATGATGAGGGCATGTGCAGTGTAGTGAGGGCTCTGAGAGGAAGTGCTGTCGGGGGGATGTCTGTCTGGAGACAAGCTTGAGAGCCCAGCGCTCTGGCAAGGACGGCCTGTCCCGTCCACCATCACCTGCAGAGGGCCTTGAGCCGCAGTGAGGGGTGCAGAGGCCCCCTCCAGGACAGCGTGTCCAGTCAGACTCCTCCCAGGACTGTGAGGGCCTCTGGCCAGTGGGAGTCAGGACCTGGGATGCCTGACAGCCTTGGGCCGAGGACTGGCACTCTGGAGGGAAATGGGCTCTTGTGCAGGCTAGCCTGTTTTGGGGGTGTGAGAATCCTCAGGAGGGCTCACATTTTGGGGTTTGGGCATCTGGGAAGACTTGGAGTCCCTCCTCCTCCTCCTGGTCCAGGGAGCCAGCCTGTCCCTGTGGCAGGCGCGCCCCCTGGTGGCAGGCCGTCCTCACTGCACTGGCCACCTGCTGAAGGTGGTGTGGTGGTGAGATCCCCAAAGAGGCTGCTGCCCTTCAGGTTTTCTCACCTGGTTGCCCTGGGCCAGGAGAGTCCTGAGAGAACAAGTTGGCTTGTGGCACAGTGCCCCGCATGTACACACACAATGTTGAGTGTCCAGGGTTTACCTGCACAGCACTGGGGCATGTTACCTGGCTGGCGAGCTGGCCTGGCCTGGGCAGGGCCTGAAGGGGGGCGTCCAGGGCCCGAATTTGCCCTGCTCTGGGCAGAAGCCTCAAAGTACTCCTGCGGCCCTGGTGTCTGTGGGTCCCAGCCAGCGCCTGCCCTGCCGCCCTGCCCGACCACTGGCCCTGGCACGAAGGGCCCGCGTGTCCCCCAGACCAAAGTGATGTCCACTGCGAATGAAGCCTGCAGCCCTCCCAGCCAGACACCACTCCATTCCTGAATGAAGCTCATCTTCCATTCCATGCCAACCACTGTTTCCATAAATAATTCCGGGAACTCCACGCTCCGTCATTGGACAGCTCCGTAAAGCACTTCCTCTCCCCACTGTACTCAGTGACCTGAGAGGCACAGGCACGGGCTGGCATGTGCATCGGATGCGTTATGCATATACATGCATGCACATATGTGTGATGCGTGTGCATCGGATGCGTCATGCATGAACATGTATGCACACGTGTGGTGATTGCACACGGGTGCATTGACTTCTCTGCGCGTGTGTCCTGTGTATTTTGGGCACATGGTGTTTCATGTATAGACATGCTTGCTCTATGTACATATGAATGTATAACATGTGCAGGCCTCACTGTGGCTGTGCGTGCACATGTGTGGTCACACGGGTATACACAAAGCTTGTCCCTCCCTCGCCCGGCTGTGGTCTCCTCCACCCAACAGCCCTCAGCAGGACTGATGGAGCACAAGCAGCTGCCCCCGACGGGGGTGGGCGTGGGGGTGGCACACACTGGGGGGCAGGGAAGAGCCATTCACCCCCCACCCCGCATTTCTTAGCAACAGCTCCCACTGGGCTATTTTGGGAGCTGTAATGCCTCCCTGAGCACAGCCCAGAAGAGTCCAGCTGGTGGCCCAGCAGCAAGCACCCCGGGTCCTACAGGGTCACACCGTGATCTTCGACGGCGGCTTCGGATGATGTGAACAGTAAAGATGGTCACTGGCAGCAAGTGACCAACCTTTTTAAGACCCACATGCTCCTAGTATAGGGCAAGGCCCCCTTCTTGAATCCTCGGGGGGGGGGTCTCAGCCCAAGTGCCTCTGTTTGAGGTGCACTGAACTTGTGTCTCCTTCCAAACCCTGAGGGCCATGGGCTGGCGGTGGGGACAGTCATCATTTTTGTTGAATGTGAGAAGTGTCCCCAAACCTGTCACTGGAGGCAGCATGGGGGTTCGATCTCCTGAGTTGAGGGAATCCTCAGGTAGGATCCCCATGCACGTTGGGGACCCAGCCAGGGGCTCTTTCTCTCTGAACCTGCTGTAAGGGCTGAAGGTCTGCTGGGGGGACCAGCTGGGCCCTTTATGGGCAGTGACTAGGGGCAGGGGGAGGCTTCGTGTCAGGTTGTCTCAGGTGGACAGGCTGGTCCTGCTGTGCTAAAGTTTATCTCACTGGTGAGGTCCTAGCTGGGGGGCTTCAGTCTTGGCAGCTCCTCCCGCAGGAGTACACAGACCCTCTGGTCCCTCCCAGGAGCATAACTTCACCTCTCCTGAGGGGGAAAGGGCTCCTATTTAGACCCCAACACACCCTGCTCACTGTCCCCTTGGATCTGGGCCACGTCCCTTTGCCAGGGCCTGCGGTGTCCTGCACAGTGCCTGGCTGGCCGCCATGCAGTGTGAGCTGACCTTGGGCAGGGATTGTGTTCACCTCTCCCTCCCGGGGACCGTTAGTGGCAGCTCACTAGTAACCAATGAGTGTTTTCCCGACCATTACACTGAGCCAGGCACACATGGATGTTTGCTATTAAGTGACCAGTGGTGGGATGGTCCCTCACTGAGCCACAGTGGGTGATGCGTGTTTGCTGAAGGTGACCACTGGTCAAGTCTGTCGCAGTGCTCTGCTGATGGGTGACAGCTAGTTGGTCCCGGGTCAGACACTCGTAGATGACCTGGATGATGGGGACTGACAGTTGATGGCCCAGCAGTGGCCGTGCACACGCGAGGTGATCCGAGAACCTTTCCTGAAGGGTGACTCCTGGTTTAGCAGTGGGTACAGAGAGCCTTTGGTCATTGGAGCCAGTCACACTGGGCCTCACACCTCAGTGTTGGGAGGTCTGCTCACCATCTGGGCTGACCGGTGCTCTCCTGGCAGGACTGGGCTGGCTCAGGCCTGTGCCCAAACTTCCAGCAGGCTGAATGTCCCCACAGTGGGCACAGGAAGGACACTTGTGCCATCACTCCCTGAAGCCGCTGTGTGACGTGCCCCTTGGTATCCCCTTGGCTAGAGCCTTCATCAGCACGGGCGGTGATGGGAAAGGCACCGGCAGAGGGCAGGACCCTGGGTGGGTAACAGGGCCACCATCCAGTCTTCCACAAGGTGTTGGACATCACACAGGACGGGCCAGAGGCCAGTGTTCGTTCTGGCTCTGGTCCTTCCCTTAGGATGGAAGGAGGGGAGCCCATGTCGGGCTGTTGGGCCTGCACCATCCCTGCAGGGAAATCCTCCCCAAGAATGGCCGGGCCGGGTGGAGGGCAGGCCTGACCGCTGCCTCCTGTGCAGATGCTGAGAGCAAAGCCAACCCCGGTGGGGGTCCCCGAGGCGTGCAGACCGAGCCGTCTCCCCCTCAGCAGGAAGTGCTGACGTCTGAGGCCACGCAGCCCGGAAGCCCCTTGGCCACTGGGACTGACCCCCCGCCCCTGGACGAGCAGTTGCCCGAGGACCCCCAACCGGATGATGCAGGTATAGTTGGGGATCCCCGTAGGCTCAGCTGCCTGGGAGATGGCTATAAACCAGGGGTCACAGCTGGGGTCCCCAGCCAGGCTCGGGCAGTGACCCACAGGTGATCCTGGGTCTCAGTACACCCCATGCTTTGAGAACATGTACCCACATATTCCTCCACAGCCCCTTCCCAGCCTGGCTCAGTGCGTTCAGGTAGGTATTTACAGCTGACCCTCATCTGACGCCCCCCCCACCCAGGCCCCTGTGTGGTTTCCCTGGGAACTCCTCAGCAGAAGGGTGTCCCCAAAAGGAGTAACTGAATAGAGCCATTTCGTCCTGGAAGCTGGGGTGCAGGCAGGCCCTGGTTCTCCATCGCGGGTTCAAGCTGAGGTCCCACACTTCTCCAGGGGTGCTTGGCTTATTTCCCTTCCCTCATTGGGGCTGCTGGGATGAGGACATACTTAGCACACGTCTGCTGTGTTGGTGGGAGGGTGGTTGAGTACTGCTGTTGAAGCTGGGAGAGGAAGGAGACGGGAAGGCCGGGGAGGGGAATCTCGCCTCAGCGGGGATCTGGCTACACGGACCTGATCTGCGGCAGTTTGCTGGCTCCTCCGTGCGCAGCTTGAGGGCTGGAACTTGATTTGAGCCCCCAGGAGTGTGGCTGTCTGGGAGGCAGATTGGGCCTGTAGTTTGTGACAGCCCCCCCCCTCCAAGCTAGAAACAGGAAGGACTGTGTGGCTGTGACAGGCTGCGTTTCCCTGTAAAACAGGTGAGGCTACACAGGAAGAAGGGCAGGCAGGTGAGGAGCAGGGGATGTGAGAGGCAGGTGTTCTGATAAGAAATCTCAGATGGAGAAGGGGCGCTACAGAACTCACCCCTCCATCCCCCACCTCCGCACTCACAAGCTCACCTGTGTCCTCATGCATCCAGCTAGCCATCCTTCTGTCCATACAACCTCTTGATTCATCAGCCCATCTAGCTGTTCATCTGCTTGCTTATGCACACATCTGTCTGTCCGTCCATCCTCGTATCTGTTTACTACTTTATATATTTACCCATCACTTCCAAGATGCATCCATCTGTCCACCTGAGTTCCAGCCATCCTTTCACACATCCACTCACCCACCCGTCTTTCTACTCGTCCTTGTCCTCATCCACCTCCCCACAGATTGAGCTGTCGACCCACCTGCCCACCCACCTGCTCACCCATCGACCCACCTGTGTACACAGCCATCCATTCCCACATCCGCTGATCTGTCCAGCTGTCCACCTGCCCATCACCTGAGGGCGGAGCTGAGGCTGCGGGCCCTACATGGTGGGAGGGTCTCTCTAGTGATCCCTCTTCCTCCTCCGGCTCCCTGCCTCCTGGGGAGAAGGTGGGGGGTCTTCTCTAGAGGGGCTTAGCCAAAGGGGGGGAAAGGAAGAGATGAGATGCAGGGCTGGGCAGGTGAGCGTGTCATGGAGATGTTGCATGTGGGGTCCTGAGCGGGGTAAGGAGAGATGTGGGAGAAGGGCCAGGCTGAGGGCTCCAGGAGACGAGGGATCCTGGCTGAGAAGGCCCAAGAAGAGGTGCCCAGGCCCTCGGGGCTCTGCCCTGACCCACTCCAACGCCCCTACCCGCAGGGTAGGGCCTCACTGAGGGAGCACGTGACGTGACAGCTGTTCTGTTGAGGGGCATTGTGTTCCAGATCTCACCATGCATTGTTTAAAGCCCCCCACGACCCCTTGAGGGGACAGTTATTGCTCTGAGGATGTAAATGAGGTGGGAACACAGATTTGGGAACTCACCCAGGGTCTTGGGGTGAGTGGCAGAGCTGATTTGACACGAAGCACGTCCGAGTGTCATTCTCTTGGGGAAGACCTCCACCTCGAGGGGACTGGCCTGTGTAAACGTGATGGGGCCCCCACACCCCTGAGTCTTGCCCTTGCCTCCCTCCTTCCACGTCTGATGCTCGTGTCCGGGCTGAAGGTGGTCGAGGCTGTATGCCCGGGGGAAGCCTCTGCTTTGTCCGTGGTTAGAATCCCACCCGAGTCCCTTTGCTCCTCCAATAGGGAAGAGCTGTGGTTTGACTCTGTTCTGCCCTTCAACAGCCAAGTCACCTTCAGCATCCAGTGGTGAGGGAGCGGGTGACAGCAGCCCATTGTCCACCCTGGATGAGCCCTCTCAAGCCTTAGCTGACTCCCTGGAGAGTCCTCTCAGACCCCTGGAGAGATCTGTGGGCCAGCTGCCAAGCCCGCCACCGGTGCCCACCCCGCCACCCAAGGCCGGGTCCAAGTTTGTGAAGAACGTCACAGGTGAGCCCACGCTGTCTTCTCCCTCCCTGCACCTGTCCATACTCCCACTCGCCCGTTCCCCCACCTGCTCGCCCATTCCCCCACCTGCTCACCCGTTCCCCCGTCCATACACTCACTAACCCAGCCAGTTACCTATCAGAACATCCACTCTCCCAGCAACTCATCCATCTACCCACTAACCCACCATTCATCCACCAGAACCCCCACGAGCCTTCCATGTGTCTGTACACCCACTTACCACCAACAGCTCCTTCCAGTCAGGATTCCAACCATTGCTGATGGGGTACTCTCCGTGGGTCACTTCTTACCTTGGATTCCGTTTCTCTGGTCTTAGAGAGGGACACAGTGGGTTTAGGGACAGAACCACATACGGAAGGACACTGCGGGAGCTCAGGTGGCGGAGTTCATAGGGAGGTGTGTTGCTGACTTACAGTCCTGGACTTCCGGAGGTCCACATCCACCAGGAGCTCAGAGTACTGCCAGCCTCCTCCTGCGTGGCTCACATCTGACCTGTTCGAGGGTCCACTGTGAGTTGGTTCTGACTCGATTGCAGGGACGCCAAGCCTGGTTCCGTCCGCAGGACTCCGAGGCTGTGTTCCAGACGTGAGTGTAGGGGAGGGGCTGGCCTTCTGCCTCTGCTCCTTCTTAGTGCTTTTCTGCAGATGAACACTAGGTGGCAGCCGAGTTACCAGGCGAGGGAGAGCACAACTTGGAGTGGAGTCTGACCAGCCAGCCTTGAACCTGTCCTGTGTCGTCGTCCTCATCCGACGTACTGGAGCCCCTTGCTGAAGTCACTGTCAGTCCATCTCGTTAGGGATCTTCCTCTCCTTCACTGACCATCTTTCGAAGCATGATGTCCCTCTGCAAGGAATAGCCTAGTACATGTCCAGAGTATGGAAGGCGAAGCTTTGATGCCTTTGCCTCCAAGGAGCGCTCTGCCTGCACCTTCTCCAAGACAACTGTGTGGTGTTACAGCAGCCCGTGGGGTAGTCAGTACTCTTTAGCACCACAACTCAAAAGACATCAGTTCTTCTGTCATCGTTACCCATTGTCCTGTTCTCTGTGACTGAGAAGACATGGTCTGAACCAGCCACGTTAGTCTTCAGACAGACATCATTGCTTCAGCACTTTGAGGAGGTCCTCGATAGTCGAGCTGCACCAATTCTGATTTCCTGACTGCATGTACCAAGGGTATTGATTGTTGACCCAGGCAAGAGGAAATCATTGACGCGTTCAAACCTTTCTCCATCATAATGGTGACAGTTGGTCCTGTGGTGAGGACCTTTCTTTTCTTGATATTGAGAAAGAATCCGTACAAAAGGCTGTAGTCCTTGACCTTCTGCAGCATTTCATATCCTCCTCACTTTCAGCAAAGAAAGTTTTGTCTGCATAATAGAGTTGAGTCTTCCTCCAATCTTGAAACATTCTTCTCCATAGAGTCCGGCTTTGCATATTACTTGCTTAGCATACAGAAATTGAATAGGTATGGAGAAAAGGATACAATCCTGATACCCACCCTTCTTGATTTTAAACCATGCAATGTTCCCTTGCTCTGTTCTGACAGCAGCTTCTCAGTCTAGGTATAGATTCCCTCCCTTCTCAGTTATAGCCATAATTTATGATTATTGATTACACAAATGCTTTTGCATAGGCAGTAAAACAGACGTTCTGCTGGTATCCTTTGCTGAAGCCAGTATCCATCTGACCTCGTGATTATCCCTGGTGCCACAGCCCCTTCTAAAACTGCTTGAACTTCCAATGCACTTCCTGGCAATGACTGTTCTAGTCGTTTGTGAATGATTTTCAATATTTTGCATGCATGAGATACTAGTGTTTGAAAATTTCCACATTTTGTTGGATGACCTTTCTAGGGGGTGAGGGCAAATAAGGATAATATCCTCTTAACGTACAGCGACTGAGTCCGTTCCCACCTGGTAGCACCCTTGTAGAGCAGATGAGAAGTGCCCACAGTGGCCCCAGAGTTGTGAATCCTTGTGGGAACAGGTGTGCCGCCTCTTCCTCAGAACCACTGGTGGGTTCAAACTACTGACCTTCCAGTTAGCAGCTACATACTTTAACCTTTGTGCCACTAAGTTTCCTTCAACCAAAACCTGACTTCACTTCCATTGAGTCGCTGGGCTTCTGAGGGGATTGCCTCATCTTTGCCCTTTGGAGCCAGCTAGTGGATTTGAACTGCTGACCTTAGGGTAAGCAGACCAATGCGTGAACCCGCTGCCACCAGGGCTCCTAAGTCAGGCTTCACTCTCAGGGCCTGGTACCTGCTGTCCCAGACCAGGTAGGGATGACAGCTTGGAGTTCTTAGCTGAGGCGCTGCCAGAGGTCAGAGAAGCCCACGCCCAGTGGCCCGCAGGGTGGTCCGTTTCTAGCAGGATTTGGGGGCTTCCTGGCTGGGAGCTGGGACTAGAGGGGCTTTTGGGGGCCACCTGACCTGGGACTGGGCAGCCCCAGCACAACTGTGTCCCCTCTTCTCTGACCATCATGGCCTTCACCCCCCACCAGGCTCGACCACGCTCTTCCAAGGCTCTGGCCCAAAGACGACTGACCCTGCTCTGCGTGGCCAGCTCTCCACCCCCACGGGGTCCCCACACCTCACCACCGTCCACAGGCCGCTGCCCCCCAGCCGAGTCATTGAGGAGCTGCATAGGGCGCTGGCCACCAAGCACCGACAGGACAGGTGAGGCTTCCCCAGGTCCCCGTGGCTGGCTCACAGACCTGCAGCCCATGCTGGGTCAGCACACGTTCTCCCTGATTGAAACATTCAAATCCAAGCTGGTCAGCTCGGGTTCCCAGCAGCCTTGCACGGGTCAGCAGAACGCTGCTTGGACATTGATCGCCAGGCCTTTCTTCCTGGGCACGTGTGGGTGGACTCGTGCCTCCATTCTTTAGCACCTCGACACTTACCCATTTATTCAGGGGCTCCCAATTTTTAAAGCAGGTGCCAGCATTTTTCTTTTTCTCTGAGCCTCGAGGATCATGCAGCTGGCCTCGACACCCCCATTCTAACCCTCAAATAATCCCACAGGTGGAGTTTGTGGGTTTGGGAGAGCAGAGCCATGAGGGGCCTCTTCCCCATTTCAGCTTTCAGGGAAGGGAAAACAAAGGTTCCCCAAAGAAGCGTGCAGAAGCCCGCCTGTCGAGGACGTCCAGCGTGGAGCGGGGCAAGGAGAAGGAGGAGGCCTGGGCCTCCGACGGGGCCACTGAGGGCAGGCGGACCTCGGTCAAGGAGTGCGAGGAAAACAAGGAGAACCTGCTAGTGGACCCCGAGCTCCAGGATGACCTGCTGTTGTACCAGGACGAGGAGGCGCTCAACGACTCCATCATCTCTGGTGAGAAGAGCGGGCAGGGGCTGGCTTGGGAGTGGGTATCCCTCCGTCCACTCACGTGAAGGGGACACAGTTAGGGACCTGGCATCAGATCTGGTGGGGAGGGAACCGTCCATCCCCAACCTGCCTTCCACCAAGTGTGTGCGGTGAGGCCCAGGAACGGAGTCATTCCTTGGAATGACTCGAATATTGATCTCTTGCTGTCGGTTGGCCACGTAGCTTCAATATTGTAATGCGAGGCTTGATTTTTTTTTTTTTAGGTGAGAAGTTGTTGATTCATAAAAGTAGGTCAGGAATTGCAGGGCACGGTACAGGGTAGGTGGGGGTCGTTAGGTGCCAGCTAGTAGACTACAGTCCCGAGCCAACACGTGAACAGATATGAACCCTCATCCTACATCTTCCTCATAATCTGACATGCTGTTATTAGTCACTGTCTCAATCCATGTTGAGGACCTTCCTTTCTCTGACCTTCCACCTTTTCCTAGGTCTTTCCAAGGATGACCCCTCCCGACAACCTGCCCAGAGTTCGTAAGACAGTTTCACTATCCTTGTCTCTAAGCGCCTTGGCTGTCCTTCCTCCAGAACAGATTGGTCTGCTCCTGTGGCAGTCCACGGGGTATCCCGTACTCGCTCCAGCCGCAGCTCAAAGTCATCAATGATTCTTCTGTTGGTCTTACTCATGGTCCAACTTTGAGATGCATAGGGAGTGATTGAAAGGAGCACGACTTGGATCAGGCACACCCTAGTTTTTACACTGAATTGTTGCTCTTCAGCACTATGGAGAGGTCCTTAACAGCAGATTTTCCCAATATGATAGGTCTTTTGATTTCTTTAAAAAATTTTTCAATGATACAAGTGTTTATGTAATATGTTACATATTCATGGTACCAGCAGCCAGGAAATCAGAAGAAAAATTCAAGGGAGTCTAGATTCCTCCTCTGGACGTGACGCCGGACAGTGAAGGTGAGCTGTGCCTGACTTGGGAAAACAGTTCCTGGGCATTTGAAAGCTTGCGAGCTGCCATCTCTAAAGTGCAGCCATTGCTCTGTCCTCATCTGGAACAAAGAAGAAAAGCCAAAGCTGTGTATAAACAGTCTAAAAAGAATGAACAGACCAGCCACTCAAGTGTCAGCCTCCGTGACCCAAGGACCAGAAGAACTAGATGGTGCCTGGCTTGTGCTGCTGACCACCCTAAAATGGTGCGGAGCGAAGGGATAAAGATTGTGGATCACACACAAAACCAGAAAACCAGTGGAGACTCTGGAACCCCCAAGAATTGTGGCCTTTAGTCTCCCTTCAGACCTGTAATAGAAGTCGCCTCCACAGCTCAGGTTTCAGCCCAAAGTGGGCAGGAAAGAGTGCGTGGCAGGCAGGTACACACGCACTCCTTGAGCCACCTGTGTCAGGACAGAGGGCAGTGTTTGTCCAGGGATAAAGCCGGAGCGGGCAGGGCGGGAATGAGAGGGGCACAGGATGAAAGTGCAGCCTCGTTGTGACGATTGTAATGAATGTCGTAAAATGTGTGAATGGTGGAATGAAAGACTTGTTTTGTAAACTTTTAAATCGCAGTAAAAAAAAAGGCAAAGATGCCCCTTGCAGGGAAGCACCTTGCTTTGGGAGTGGGCTCCCTGTCCCCTTGTCATGGGAGGTCACTGAACCACAGAAAGGAGCAGCTCCTTCCAAGCACTGGGAGGTGTAAGGTTTTGTTGTTTTTTTAACTTTTTTAGTGACACTTATATTACTGTTGCTGTGTGCCGTCGAATCAGATCCGACTGGCACAGAAGGAAACTGCCCATCCTCCAGTGGAACATCTGGTGGACTCGAACCACACACCTTCAGGATTGCAGTGCAGCTCCTTGCCACTAGGCCACCAGAGCTCCAGAAGTTGCCATTTGAATGACCCTGAGTCTCCCCCCACCCAGTTCTCCCCATGGACACCAGGTGATGCCACAGCTCCTTGGATTCAGGATACTGGGGAGAAGCCTGCTGGGCCTTTGGGGACCACCTGGTGGCCCCCACCCCTCACGTCCCTGGCAGGTGGCTCAGGCACTCAGCTGATCAAAAGTTTCAAACCCACCCACAGGAGTCTTGGAAGACGACGCTTGGCCACTGACTGCTGGGAAGCCATCAGCCTCAACTTGCTGGCCCAGACGCTCTTGTTTTCATTGTGGTGGAAATAAAACAGCTGGGTTTCTGGGACGGAGGCACAGTCAGGTCTGGTGGTTGCTGGTGCCCCACAGGCAGAGCTGTGGGGGGGTAGTGGGGCAGGTCCCCTGTGGTCACAGCCACCACCTGTGTTGTCCCTGTCACTGAACTCTCCCTAGCTGCTCTAATCCTCCTGACAGCCTGGCAAGACGGGTCCCCTCTGTCCCCTCCTACTGCTGAGACATGAGAGCCCGTCATCCAGGTCCTCACTGTGTGACCTCATCATGCAGAAACCTCAGCCTTTAGGCAGCTCACAGCAAGTGTGTTGGGGTGCAGGAGCCCCAAAAATGTCTAGGGGTTAGAGGACAAGGACTGCGGTGGGTGCACAAGGCCGCTCTGACTGCATCTACATGGCCCCTTCAAGTCCAGGTGTTCACACTTGTTAGGAGTGGTCCACCTGGTAGGAGCTGTGAGGTGGGCATGCCTGGTCTGACAGGTGATGCTTGCTGCAATCCAGGATGAGACCTCATCCTTAGGGCGATGTTAAACACACCATGGCTGCAGGGAGCTCTGGTGACAAATTACCAAATCTCCTGCTCCGAGGGAGAAAGATGGGCCATTTACAGCCTCTGAAAACCCAGCGGAGGCTCAGCTAGAAGCCAGTTCCAACGCGATGGTTTGTAACCACACCACGCACTAGCGGAAGGACCGAGGAGTCTTTGTTAGAAATACGTCCAGAGAGCTCTTTAGAAACAAGGGTGAGGAGATGTCATCAGGAGAGGCTGGTTCCTTTCCGAGAGGAGGACGTCGTGCTGGCTGAAGTGGGTCCGTGAAAAGATCCTCGGTGAGATGGATGGAGCAGCTGTAACCGTGGACTGTGGCCGAGATTGTGAGACTGGCCCGGACCTGGACGGGTTTGATTCTAATGTTCGTCGGGTCACTGAGTCAGCACCAGGGCCACAGCACACAATGACACCAACGTGGTGGTTCTATTTTCTGAAGACGCTCGTTGTTTCCCATGACAACTTTACACTCCCACCAGCAGTGGACAGTAGTTAGGATTTCCCTGCATCCTGCTGCTTCCTGTGTCTGGTCCAGTAGGCGTGAGGTGACCTCACTGTGCCTCTGCCTTCGTCTCTGACCCTCCTGTGCTTGGTGGCTGCCCGATATCCTCTCTAAGGCAGTGGCTAGTTATGTGTCTTACCCCTGTTGGGATGTGCTTATTGTCTTTCTGTGAAGTTGTGGAAGTGACATGCTTTCTGGACATTGACCTTGGTCAGTCAGAGAATGCTCTCCATCTGTAAATGGTCTTTTTACTCTGTGAACTCTTTTTATGAAGATGGCTCTCATGAAGCTCTTTTTCTAGTCTCTCTTGCTGGGAATTAGCTCGTGTAATTTAAATGGTTTGTTAGCATGAAGTTGTTATTCTCGTGTCCTTGTGGTGAGTGTAGAAGACGTGGATGGTTTCTGAACGCTGGTCAGCAGTCCCTTCCTCCACTCTTCCCCGCTCAGTCTTCCTAGTGCTGCCACGCGTGTGGATCTTCTGACAAGGGGCCCTGGTGATGCAAAGATGCAGAACTAAGCTGAACCTAGCGTGGCGGTTTGAACCCACCAAGGGAGAGATGTGGCATTGAAGCCTAACTAAGTGCTTCCATGGAGATCACAGCCTTGGCAGAGGATATTTCCATGTGCGCATCTCTGGATGCATATTTAGATCTGTTTAGATCAGGCCTGGGGGCAGAATTGGGGAGGGGGTCTTAGCTAGAGCTGAGCACCCTGAGGGGCTGAGTCTCGAGGCCTGGGAGCCCTGGGTGGTAATGAAGAGGGACATCAAGGTCAATTGGCATCACACAGTCGACACAGACGGTGCTACACATCTTACTGTTGTGAAAGGAATTACACAGAAGGCTCCTGAGTTGGGGGGTGGGAGGAAAGAAACAAAATGAAAAGTATAAGATCACCACGCTTCCTGGTCTGACCGATACTGGTAGAAGGCCCAAGACTGACTGTTCGTCACCCTTCAATCCTGGAGCAGAGGTCCCCTCAGGGACTGAACTTCCCGCCAAGCAAGAGGCCTGGAGGGTGAGAGCCATCAGCCATACATGCTCAAAAGGGCAGAAACTGCTCAGGGATGAAGCTTGGACTGGTGGGGGACAGGCAGGAAAGGACATGGGAAACACCTGGGAGAAATGGGAAGAGTGCAGCTAGACTAACTCATTACTGTCATGGCACAGCATGGCGTGTGAATTAAGGACGAATTTGCTGTGTAAGCATTTACGCAAATCACAAAATCTTTAAAAAGACTATTCCTGCCTTGGAAGCCGCCTGAGACTGCTGTTCTCAGTCCTGTGGGATCCACAATGAGGTAGAAGAGCCAGCTTTTTTTTGTATCTTGCTGGTTGTATCTTCCCAGTCTTGTGATTTGAATGGTTTTATCCATGGTTTTCCGTTTGCAATTTTCTGATCTTCACCACGAGCTTGCTTCTCCCCACTCAGGCTGAACTTGCTCATCTCGTCATTTTGCAAGATGAATTCTAAGGACGTTAGTTTGAGAATATCATATTTTTCTAAGGTCCACATTCAAAAGTCCTAATCTTCCTTTGGAATCTTACTAGAGGGTTAAATTTAGACATTTCATTAACTTTTAAAATACTAGAAAGTGTTTTAAAAATGCCAACCCAAAGGTTGACTGTTCAAATCCACCAGCTGTTTCAAGAGAAAGCCATTCTCCTCTCATACCATTCACAGCCTCTGAAAACCCTCTAGAGGGTCACCTACGAGTCCATTCTGACTTGATAATAGTATACAGTCACCTTCAAAAGGGCTATTCTTCTCTCATCCTTATTCATTGTCCAGAT